TCACTTGGTAGCCCAGGCTGGCCTCGAACTCACAGAGATCCGCCTGGCTCTGCCTCCCGAGTGCTGGGATTAAAGGCGTGCGCCACCACCGCCCGGCTGAAATCAGCTTATTTCTAAATAGCCACAGACTAGAATGTCTCCAGATATTTATGAATAATAGAATGGTTAAATTGTTTTAAAATCAAACAATAGAATACAAAAAACAAAATGAGAAGGAACACAGATAAGTTTCACAGAGTGATCAGTGAAGGATGACAGTCAAAAAGCATAAAACTCCATGTATGTGAAATTCAAAACTAGGCCAAGTGTAGTGGCACATGCCTGTACTCATAGCATTTGAGAAACTGAGGTAGTAGCCTGGAGAGTTAAAGACCAGCTTGGGCTCTAAAGTGAGATTCTGCCCCTACCACACCACACATCCCCCCCCCCCCAAAGCAAGTAGATAAAATGATTTTTAATAGAACCAAACAGGGCTGGCAAAAAAAAAAAAGTCAATGAAATGATTCCTAATGATACTTTGCTATACTCATAGATCAGTGCCTAGCCTGATTGTCATCAGAGAGGCATCATCTAGCAACTGATGGAAGCAGATTTAGAGACCCACACCCACAGCCAAACATTAGGTGGAGCCAACCCCACAGGAGAGGCAAGGGGAAAGATTATAGGAACCAGAGGGGTTGAGGGTACCAAAAGAACATGGTCCTCAGAATCAACTAAGCAGGGCTCAAAGAGGCTCACAGAGACTGAAGTGACAGTCATGGACTCTGTATGGGTCTGAGCTAGGTCTGCTGCATAGATGTTCTGGTTGTGTAGCTTGTTTTCTTGTTGGACTCCAGGAATAGGGGGTGTCTCTGATTCTTCTGCCTGCTCTTGGGACCCTTTTCCTCCTACTTGGTTGCCTCATCCAGCCTTGATATGTCTGGTCTTATTGTAATTTATGCCATTTTGGGGTTGATATACCTGCTCTTTTTTGAAGGGAAATGGAGGAGGAGTGGATCTGGGGAGAGAGGAGGAGGTGTGGGGGGAGGGGGAGCGATGCTGGGAGGAGTGGAGGGAGGGAAACTGCTGTCGGGATGTAATACTTGAGAGAATTTAAAAAAAAAAAAAGGTTTTTGTTGTTATTTTAAAGAAACCCAGATTGTTGTTACTTTGGGATAAGGAATTGATCCAGGGAACAGCTACAGGTTGGAGTTCCCACAACCCACTTCTTAAGTACAGCTAGTTTACTAGAATGCTTCCTGAAACTCAGGGAACCTCCTGTGTTCACCTATTCGACACAAAGTTCTACCCACACATACAAATGAAGATATGAGCGGGGCAAGTCCTGTGGAGACAGTCTGTCGCTTCGGCATGGTCTCTAGATGCACCATCCTCTGTGTGCTCCCCAAAGCTGTTAGGTCCTTCCGTGGAGTCTTAGAGGTGTGAGTGAAACATGGGAAGCTGTACAGATGTCGTGGACACTGAGGCTGAGGTCTTAGCTCAGCACCTGGCACACAATTAGCAAATAACAATTACTATAATGCTAAAACCTGATCACTTTGGGGCCATTCTTTGCCTCTGTATCCCCTGAAAAGTAAAGTGCCCATCAGTGTGGCTGTTGTCAGTTGCTAAACAAGAGTCTCTGAGATGGTAGAAGACATGAATTCTTTCTTCCCTGTGGCTGGGAGCACTGACATCAGTTTTGTTTCCTGTTTGTGGATTTGCTCTTCTTCCTGTATTGTCTCATTTGAAGTGGATAGAGCTGGGAGTCCATCTCATTTGAATCTCCTCCTTGCATAACGTTGTGTGTGGTATTTTCTGCTTATAGACAACCACTTAAAGCAGGTTCAGTGTCTTAGAGACTAATTTAGGCTTACAGGAATCAGACACATAGAAATCATAAAAATAAGGCTAAGCAGGCACTGTGGGCTATTATTATTATTATTATTATTATTATTTAAACATAGACACAGCATCCTATCAAAAGTATGTTTTTAACCAGGCGTGATGGTGCAAGTGTGTAATGCCAGCTCTTAGGAAGCCAAGGGAGGAGCATCCTGAGCTCAAAGCTAGCCTGGGCTACATAGTGAAACCTTTTGTCATAAAACAGGGGCCAGTGTGATGACTCAGGGAGTACAGACACCTGCTGCCAAGCCTGAGCCCTTGAGGACGATCCCTGGACCCACCTGGTAGAAGGAGAGAGGAGACTCCTACAAGTTGTCCTCAACCACATGGGCACCATGGCTTGCTCGCATCCTCCTGCTTGTCTGTGCAAATGTTCACACAAAATAAATAATGCATTAATTAAAAATAAAACAACACCCTTCCTGAAACTATCCTTTTTTCCTTAGCTTTATCTTTTTACAAGAAATGAAAACTATAACTATCTTATCAGTGCTTGGAATATGTTATCTCATTTAAATTTATTAAAACATTGAGCAATAAAAATGAAATGAAAGTAGAAAGGACTGCTTGATACACTGTAAGAGCACAGTAAGATCCTCTGATAACTATTTAAAATACTTACAGTCATAGTTTTCTTAGAGGAAGGCACAGGGGCCTCTTTTCTGAGCTAAATAAGTGATGAACCATTTACCTAAGATTGCCCAGGTTTTTATTCAAGTCCTCTTCTAGTTGCATAAGGCAGCGCTGTCTTTCCCAAATGAGAAGCATATATCTATGCCTTAGATTTCTTTGTAGGTTTTGTGTCTTCGTTGACCTATGTTGTGACTGTAGGATATGAACATAAAATGCAGGATGTTGGAACTGGGAGAAGTCATTGTTGTTGCTAATAAGACCCAGCCAGCTCCTCACATGCTCTTCTCCTGGCCCAGTACAATTATATGTAACTGATGGGGTAAGAATTTTAGGTTGAAGTTTTGTTTTTTCCTGTGTGAATAGACCTATAGATACAGCTAGCTTTTTTGGTTTGTGTTGCTTCAGAATGCGGAGTAGCGCAGAGACTGAACTGACAACAAGGGAGCCTGCATGGGACTGACCCAGGCAGTCTGCATACATGTGACAGTGTGCAGCTTGGTCTTCTGGGGGACCCCTACCAGCAGGAACAGAGGTGTTCTCTCACTGTTTTGCTGGCTTCTGGGACATGTTCCTCATACTGGATCACTTTTCCCAGCCTTAATATGAGGGGAGATGCCTAGTCTTTTTTTTTTTTTTTTTTTTTTTTTGTTTTTCGAGACAGGGTTTCTCTGTGTAGCTTTGCGCCTTTCCTGGAGCTCACTTGGTAGCCCAGGCTGGAGATGCCTAGTCTTAATGCATCTTGATATGCCATATTTTGTTGATATCCATGGGAGGCCTGCCTTTTCTGAAGGGAAATGGAGGGGGTGGGGGGGGTGAGGAGGGACTTGGAGGAGAGAAGGGAGGAGAAATTGCAGTCTGCATGTAAAAATAATAATAATAATAATAAATCATTTAAAAACCATAACCTCAGCTGGGCGGTGATGGCGCACGCCTTTAATCCCAGCACTTGGGAGGTAGAGGCAGGTGATCTCTGTGAGTTCAAGGCCAGCCTGGGCTACAGAGTGAGTTCCAGGAAAGGCTCAAAGCTACACAGAGAAACTGTCTTGAAAAAAAAAAAAACCAATAAATAAATAAATAAATAAATAAATAAATAAATAAATAAAATTTAAAAAATCATAATCTCATCTTAGCCTATATATACACACAATTGTTCATATTATATTTACTTATATACAAAGTTTATTGGGAAAATTAAGAATGCAGAGCAATTCTGTCTTACTCTGTGAAGTATGTTAGGTAGAGCCAAGTAAAAGCAGATTTATGTAAAAATTGGGGTGGCCATGTCTAATGAGAGTCACCCTGGAGGATGCCACTTGTCTAGTCTAAAGAGGTTTTTAAGTCTGAGATTTCTTTAAATTCCACTGTCTGTATGATTTGTATTTTTCAGCTGAGAGAAGAGAAGTTACAAGAAGAAAAAACTTGTGAAGATCAGATCCACAAGATACTGCAGGAGGATTCAGAAATGGGGAAAAGGAAAACAGATGAACAGAAAAAAAGAGATGAGCCAGTAGTAGTGTTGAAAACAAGTCTGGAGCAGGTTAGTGGTCACCTTCTGAATGCACATCTGCTTCAGTCCAGCAGTTCAGCCAGGGATGTGGGTCTGAGAGCTTTGGCGCCAGAAATACCCATTGCCTGTGTAGCCTAAGAGTAGGGAAGTGCTTTTTGTCCAGATCGTGATGGAGGAAGTAATTTTGAATGGGTCAGTGGAACCTGTGGCAACCTGGGATAGTGTGCTACATGTGTTATAAATTATTATGCTGCTCCCCCCCAGGGTATCCTATGCATGCAGGGAACCATGCTGGCATGTTGGGCAGATGCAGTGGCAGGCTGGCATGTGACCCACTCTATGCAGGCATGGCAGGTGGACATTCACATCCCAGAGGCTGCATCCCCATGGAGAGTTTATTATAATAGAGTGGTGAAGAGGCGGAGAGACAGAGAGAGGGAGAGGAAGAGGGGAGTCCAGGGGTGCATACCTCGTGGGAGGAGAGAGAGAGAGAGAGAGGTTTTTCCTTAAAAAGAGACTTTTACATCAGGACACAGGGTGGCACCAAGGGGTGGGACCAGAATATTAACAACATGTGATAAGGTTTGTGTGTATACCATCAAATTGATGTATGTGCTGGTTGTTTACATTAAACTTTAAATATCTTAGTATCCTCAGTTAGATTTCTTTAAAGCTGTATTTTACTTTCATTTATCCTCTATAATTCCTTACGCAGAACAATGCTTAGATATAAGTATGTCCTCAGCCGGGCCTGGTCATACACACCTTTAATCCCATCACTCCAGAGGAAGAGGCAGGTGGATCTCTGTGATTTCAAGGCTAGTCTGGACTACAAATCTCGAGTTCCAGGACAACCAGGGTGGTTATGCAGAGAAACCCTGTCTTGAAAAACAAAAAAACAAACAAACAAAAAAATCTGTCCTCAGTATTAGATGAGCAGTCTAAGCTTAACCAATTAGGCACATGATTGGGCCCAATCTTGCTTGAATGTTTTCATTACTATTTTCCATTGCTCATTTGTGTGTGTGTAAGCACATGCATACCCTTGCACACATGTGGTGGTCAAAAGACAAACTGTAAGAATCAGTTCTCTTTCCATCATGTGTATCCTGGGGATTAAACTCAAATGATGATGTACCTTCAGCCATCAACCTGTCTCACTGGACCAAAAAAGTACTTTTTGAAAACGTAATTATATTCATAGGAAAAATGACAGTTTAATATCAATTCTAGTTACAATGGTTTGAACATCTACTGATTGCTGTATATATTTTGAGTCAGATCTTTTAAGTATTTTTATATAGCCTTGTTAAATTTTCAGGTACTTTTTTAATGGTTTGAAATTAATGAAGCCTTAACATGTATGAAGATAGGCAACATAAAAGAGGAGGAAAGAGCAGGGCTGGAGAGATTGCTGGTCCTGCAGAGGACCTCAGTTCGATTCCCAGCACCCACATGGTGGCTCACAGCATCCTGTAACTCCAGGGGATCTGATACCCTTTTCTGACTTTCATGGGGACCAGTCATGCATGTGGGGGACATGCAGGCCAAATATTCATACAATAAAAATAAATAAGAACAGACATCCACACACATTGCCGGGGGTGTGGTGGGGTGGAGAAAGACTAGGAGAACAGCTCTCCACAGCCAGCATTACCACTCACTGTACTCGGGCCAGGTTTCTTCCTGTCCAGCTGCGGGCTTAGTTTGTATAAAGGCATTTTTCCTGAGCTTCAGAAATAGACATTTTTTAAGCTGTCTTGGGTCATTGTATTTGCTGACTGCATATGCAGATGACATATGATTCTGGTTGTAGTCTTAATTGTCATTAATTATTATTAAAAGTATCCACTTGGAAACAGACCATGGTGACACACATCTGTAACAGCAGCACTTGGTAGGTTGAGGCAGGACAGTTACAGTTAAGCTATCCTGAGCTCTGTAGTGAGTTTTAGGCCTGCCTGGGCAATATATGTAGCAAGGCTCTTTCTCAAAACAATAAGAATAAAACAAAGGCACTTGAATTTACAAATTTTCAATTCTGTACAAGATTCCGTTTAACAAGCATAAAATGCTGTGCACTCTCAATGACATGCACCCAGGAACCTCGAAGGGCTGAAGGCTGCTGCTAGTGAGATTGCCTGCGCATGGCTTAGGAGGTGGCAATAGGACGGACGGACGGACGGACGGACAGACGGACAGACGCCTGCTGGTGTCACCGCGGCCCCAGCTGTGCACTGTGGTCTTGGAAGGCTGCAGCTTTGCCTCTTTCCAATCGTAATGGCCTCAGGCGAACAGTCTGAAAGCCCCCAAATCCTGAGACAGATGGCCCTTCCACAGAAGGAGCCTGCAGGTCCAGATCTCCTCCAGGAACTGTTCTCTGCTACTGGTTTCATGTCACGACTGGGAGTCATAATTACTTTGCTTTGGGCACTACCATGAAGTAGAAAGCAGTTACACCAGTGCAGTTCACGTCTTTAGAGGAATCAGAAAATACAGATCTTCAGATTCCCTTATTGGTAATAGCCAGGTTCACAACATTGTCAACACAAAGCACAGTGAGTAAAGTCTAACCTGTTTTGGATTTTTATGATCCTGCCCTTTTCTACCCTCCTAGTTCCTTTTACATTTTTGAGAACTTTTACATGTCTTTAATAGTTTTTAGACTGATGTAGGCTTGTGCTCTCAACTGCTTTAGAGACTGAAGTTGGAAGATTGCAGTGTCATGGTCTGATTGGACCTCAGAGTTCTGGGCAACTCAGTGAGACTGTTGAAAATAAAAATCCCAACAAGGGCTGGACAGTGGAGTGGAGGAGCACTTGACTGGATGGTGGAGTAGAGGAGCACTTGACTGGATGGTGGAGTAGAGGAGCACTTGACTGGACGGTAGAGTGGAGGCGCACTTGACTGGATGGTGGAGTGGAGGAGCACTTGACTGGCATGTGCACAGCCCTGGATTCAGGCCCCTGAACCAGGGAAAAAGCAAGTGTTTGGTGTTGAACAATTTCATTATATTAAAATTGGGACCCAAGAGAATCTGAAATTGACTCTTTGTATTAGGGTGTGTCCCGAGGAGACGAGTCGTTACACTCTCCCACCACCAAACCTCAGTGGCTCTCCGTTTCTTTGAGAACAGCACCCAGGTCCTTCCTTACCATGATCCTAGCTAGTCTTTCCACCCTTGAGTATGCTCCAAGACTCCTGGGAGCAGAATGGTTTGCTGCCAACATCTACACTCTGCTTTCCCTCCTAGGTACATTTTCAACAGCTTGCTGTTTGTTTCTCTGTCCAGTCAAAAAGCTGTCACCTTTAAACTGGCAGAGATTGCTCACTTCATTCATCTTCCCGTTCTCACTCCACCCTTCAGATTTGTGACTTTTACAAGATTCCATGCTCCCACTATAGATTTTTTTAAATTTATTTTTTTTTTATTTGCATTGGTATTTTGCTACATGTGTGTCTGTGTGAGGGTGGCAGATCTTGGAGTTACAGACAGTTGTGAACTGCCGTGTGGGTGCTGGGAATTGAACCCGGGTTCTCTGGAAGAGCAGTCAGCTCTCTTATCCACTGAACCATCTCTCCAGCCCCTCATTATAGATTTTTATGTTTGTTTCTGTATGAGATTGTTGACATGTGTCTCACCCAATTAAAAACCTCCTACAATTCCTTGGCCCTCACAAGTTTCTGATGCATGCTCATGAAATTATTAAACTCAGAGCATATTCTTTCTAAGAAAGAAGGAGAGATTATCTATTATTTTTTATAATGGAAATAAAATGTTTGATTTGTTGTTTTTTTATGGTACCATTACTTCAATAATGATGTGAATTGTTGGAAAACAGAACAGTTATATTGAGGATTATAAATCAGAAGTGAAAGATTAATTATCCTACAATGTAGAAGTCACCCCTATAGGCATTTTGGTAATTATCCTAATCTGCCCTGTGTTCTAAGTGCAATTAGTATTTTCAGAAAGCATTTGTAATCAGATTGGAACTCAGAAAAGTGACTTAGAGACTGAACTTTGAAACTATAGCTCTGATGGTTCTGATGGGAACCCCGATCTTCTCTCCTCTGTCTCCTTGCCAGTGTCCTGCACGTCTCTCAGATTCAGAGAATGAAGAGCCTTCTCGGGGCCAAATGATCCAGACTCATCGATCGGCCTTTGTTTCCAAGAACAGCTCCTACTCCTTAGCCTTCCTGGCAGGGTAAGAGACTGGCAGCTGAATTCGGAGTTCCTTCATTTGAGGGATGACAGGGGCTGCTGACAAGTAGAAGGAGTAAGAAGAGGTGGGAACTGAATTTTCAAATGTAGATTACAGCCAGGCAATGGTGGCACATGCCTTTAATCCTGATACTTTGGAGGCAGAAGCAGGTGGATCTCTGTGAGTTTGAGGCCAGCCTGGGCTACAGAGTGAGATCCAGGACAGCCAGACAGCCAGGGCTACAGAGAAACCCTGTCTTGAAAACACCATTAAAAAAGTGTTACAAAGAAGGGGCTTGTGTGTGTGTGTGTGTGTGTCTGTGTGTGTG